ATATCAAACCGTGAGACTAAAGTATCGAACCGAACCGAATCGTGAATTTTCTGTATCGTTGCACCCCTAATTGCTTTTTAAAGAAACCATTGGTGGGCCAGACTGAAGTCACCCTCAGGATGAATGTGGCCCACGAGCCGCCAGTTGAATAGCCCTGCTCTAAATGAACAATGGCCAGGACAAGCCAACCAAACCAATTCTTACARATAATGGCATGACTAAGGTAAACATAAATATTCATTAATGCCGGCAAAAGATTACAAATGAGATGAAATGAGAATTAAAGCTTTATTTTATTATTATTGTTGCTCACAATAATAATGTTAGGATCTGTGTGCTTTGTTTGGTTAATACTGTATTTGGTTCTGAATGCATTTCTGATTAGTCTGCCTCGTGCTGAGCGTCTGCCACGCCCACCTGCTCTGGTTCAGCCTGTGAGCTCAGSTGCTGGATAACGAGTTCTGACACTGACTCACTCCAGCATTCTACCATCTTCATGAGTTCAAGTAGGTTATTTCTGACTACCTGTTCTTAAAAAAAATCATTATATTTAAAAGTTATACTGATGGACAGAAAGCCTTTTCCCTTCTCTTTAACCACCACATTCCTCTTCCACTCCATGAGAAAGTCTGAATCTGAGAGCATGAATATGCGATGAGTTTGGAGAGGGAATTTATTACATTAATATATCCATACTGTGWGTTCCCTGACAGCCTGGAAATGTGCCAGAGTTTCCTGGAAAGATAAATGGAGCATGGAGCTTAATGAAAATGTGAGATCTTCTGTTTTCCAGCACGCTGAACACGCAGCAGCCCGCTCTTACATCAAACGCACAGATTGGGCCTTCTGAGACAGCCAGAGGTCAGTCAGAGTCTTCTCATTTCTCTTTCATGCCATATTTTACAGGCAGGTTGAGACGTGGACCACAGATTCAAGCAAATATGGTCTAATTTTCAACATTGTCTGCACACTTATTTTAGTCTTTGAGCTTATAGTTGTCTGGACACGTTTCTGCAATCGTCATCTGTGCAACTGTTGCGACTGTTACGTTGACTGAAAGAAGCAGGTTCTTCTCGGTTTTTGCAGAAACTCTTCTGGAAAATAATCTTATTAAAAGGCTTCAGATAAAGAGCTAAAATATGTCAAAATCTAATATATGTTTTATAGTGGGATTTGTGTCAGCTGCTGCTGTAATGCAGGACAATAGCTCTGATTAATGAAATGTGTGAAAACAATAAAAGCTTCACTAAATGTATATCTTTAACTAAATGAGCAATGCATTGCAGTTTTTTTTATTGCCATGTTTTACATTCTCCAAGCATTCTTTGCCAGAAGCAAGAGAAAATCCACACTATGGGAGTCTCAGATACAACCACACCAATCTTTTTAGCACAGTATCTGGAAAAATGACAACAATAAAGCAATTTATGCACTTTCTAATGTCAGTTGGCTGTGATAATATGGCTGAGTTAGATTGGCTGCAAAAGTTAATCAGCTATAGTTGCACATCCAATGACTATTTTCTAAAAGTTTCATTAACATCCATTTGCTGGTTAATGAGATATTTTACCAACAGACAAACAGGGTTGACTCACAGTAAATGTTAATGTTTTAAGCTAAGATGTCACACAATGAGCAGCGCTTCATGTATGTCTTGTAAATTCCTCTCATCTACAACCACGCCAAAGTTTAACACAATAAATGTTAAAATGGCTGAATTATAGTAATTTTTGAGTTTTATAATGTCAGTTAGATTTGGCACACAGCTTAAATTTGGTTGGATCCAAAAGTTAATCAATTTTAGATGCACGTCTGATGATTAAGTTTTAATAGTTTGATTTTAATCCATCCTGTGGCTCATGAGATATTTTGCTAACAGACCAAGTTGAGGTCAAATATTACTGGCAACATTTTAAACACAGTTTGTGCACTCTGTGCTCAGAATGTGTGTTGGAAATCAGTCTCAGCTGAAAYTGCACCAAATCTAGGTTAATATCAGTAAAACTGACAGTGATATTTTGCTAACACACACATGCACATACTGTACATGAGCAAAATAAATACGTTGTTGCCCAACCTTTCAACCATTAGATGTCAGGCAATAAAAGTGAGAGTTTTAGGAATATAAAGCTGCATTTGTTGTTTTCATATTTTATTAGACTTGAATAATTTATTTTCTGTAAATATGAACATTAATCAGCATTTCCGTGTTACTTCAAGTCTTTTAGCGTCGTCTTTTTTTCCCCTTCTTCAACCGAGGCTGACTGTTTGACAGCGTTTTCTGGCGGATTCAATAACCTACTTTGCATCCGTGCGGGGTGTCTGTGTTATTATCCCACAGTTACAATGAGCTCATTTTGAATATCTGCAGTTTTCACTCCCCCGGGATAACCGCTCATCTTTTGATCACAAGGATGAAACTGGCTGACAAGGTGATGCCTGCCTTAAACAAAAAATAAAAATAAAAAAGGGATTCTTTCGGGTGAGCTTCAACAGCACCAGAAACAAACCAAAAAAATATATATCTAAAATAAAATTTTAATTTTAAAGAAGAATTTAAAACAAGAAATGAGCCCATCTTAAAGGAGTAGCACTTATTGAAGCCGTCAGACGAGACGCTCCGTTGATCTTCAGCTTGTTTGTCGAGACACTCAGAGTTTCGACAACTGCAACAATCCTGCAGCTCTGCAGGCTTTGCATCAAATGCTGCACTCGAAATTGAGCAGCCTGTTTAAGAATTAGCTGTGTTTAACCTGTTATCTGCATTTCTAACAACAGGCTGATGGAAAAAAAATAACTTCCACAGAAGTTAAAATTTATAGATTTTTTGAAGTCCAGTTCTGTAGAAAGGTTGTTATTAACAGYTGAATAAATGCCCTGTTGGCTCTTTAAATATTGAATCTTCTGTCCTGTTTCATTTCAGCATGGAAGCTAAACTTAGTTCAGTTCAGTATAGCTTATTTGGAAACCGGCTTTCTTTACATTGCATGTGAGTCAACAAGAGTAGACAGAAAATGCCCTGTAGGGTAGGGTTAGGTAAATATAGTTGCAGGAMTAGATTTACTTCAGTCATGTAGAAAAGAGCGGCTGATGTCGGATCAGCAGAATCATCGGTTCAAAGAGTCCTGATCTCAGAAAAAATTAAATTTTGAACTGGATTAACCTCATTTAATCCAATATAACATACGCCCTGAGGGCCTTATTTTATGTAGGAAACATTTCATACATGTTTCCTGCATTTTATTTTTATTTATTTATTTATTTATTTTTAAATAGTTTTGTTTTTCGGTGTATTTTTATGGAAGCAGCACAGCGCCATATACAGGTCTGGCATCCCTACTGCACTTAGAGTTGTTTTCCGCGTTTTCAAGCAGACAAAAAAAAAAGGTAATAAACAGTGCCATGTTTACGC